AAATACGTATTAAACTGGTTGGAGAAGAGCACCAAAGTACTGCTGACTGTTACTACTCACTGGGGGTAACACAACGTGAACTAGGTGATTTCAAAGCGGCTCTGCAGTCAAAACAGCGTGCGTTGGAAATACGTATTAAACTGTTTGGAGAGGAACACAAAAGAACTGCTGACTGTTACTACTCACTTGGGATAACTCAGCATAAGATGGGTGATTTCAACGCAGCGGTTCAATCTTCACAGCGTGCTCTTAATATACGTATTAAACTGTTTGGAGAAGAACACCAAAGTACTGCTGACTGTTATCGCTCACTGGGAAAAGCACAGCACGAACTAGGTGATTACAAGGCAGCTGCTCAGTCAACAGAGCGTTGGCAGGACATACGCAATAAACTGCGCGGAGAAGAACACCAAAGTACTGCGTCCTGAATGCTACTATACAAACTTGGAATTACAGAACATAAGCCAGGGATCAGATAGTGAATTTCAATAAAGCGCTTCAGTCGAAAATGCGCCGTGCACTAGATAAACATATAATGGTTGGACAGGAACACAAAAATACTGCTGAAATTTTTTTAATTTAGTACACATTAAATATGACATAACAAAACACTACAGTGCAGCTCTCGCGTCAAAACAGCTTGCGCTAGATGAAGGTTTCTCAACGTTTTGGAGAAGAACCGCCAAAGTGCTGCTAACTGTTAGTTCGTCCTGGAGAGAACACTGCAGCTCTTAGGTCAATCCAGCCGTATATACGCTGTACGTACGTACTTAACAGTGTGGAAAATAAAACCTAAGTATTAGAGGATTTCAGTGCAACCCTCCCTTCAAAACAGCTCGTGATGCATATATGTGTTACACTGTTTGGAGAAGAACACTTACGTACTGCGGTTTTTACTAATTACAGCCACTGTAATGAGGAGAACACAGCTGGGTTGCTCACTTCACCGCAACGTTTTTCACTCAGAACAGTGTGCGCTGGGGATTATGTACTAAATTTTTTGACTCTGTTTGGAGAGCAGAACATTAAGAGTACCAACGTTGTTGGCCAACAGATCCCAACATTACTGGATGCTACTTGTTGCGTCCGTTTGCACACCTTGTTGCATGCTGTTGGGAGTTTATGGACAAAGTTTGAAATCGATGAAACTTTTAGCTCACGTGCTAACGGACGCAAAATCCCCAAAATGTTGGGCGTTTTGGCCAGCAATGTTGAGTCCGTAGCACGGGGCTTTACTTCGAGGTAGGGTGAATAAAAAGCCCCCTAAACTCGGTGACTTTAAATCCGCTGTTTATTCTTGCCACCTGGACAGTGACCGTGAAGTGGAGGAATTAAACGCAGCTTATATTGAGTCACTGAGTTGGCAAAATCATACTGTCGAGACAACTAGAGTAAATCACGATCATGGCCGTATTAGAAAGGTTATGTCATTGTATCTCTCATTGTGCGAGTCAGGTTTTTAATTTAGCCATCTTAATTATGAGGCCAAAGCAGTAGAGTTTTAAACCAAGGCCTTAAAATGGCCTTGATCAATACTTAGCAGTCTAACCACACGCATGCGTGTCGTGGTTCCACTTGATATTTGAGGACTTTGACACAATATAATGTTGGTCGATAAGAGAATATATAGACCATTGAATCAGTTGTTGACGAAATGTGTGATAGAATATAGATTATTTGTGGCAAGTTGACGTCAACTTGATATCTTTGGTCTGTTTTTATTTAGTTTGTTTTAAAACATATGTAAGCTCAGTCATTCAGTCGAGAAGAGTATTTATCCGTGTGGGAACTAAATCAATTATATGAAAATCATTTACGATATGATCAGTTTCATCATAATGTGTGGCGCTGCAAGAGCAATGAAACAAGTTTTCATGCATTTACTTGCATTTTACACCTTCGGGATGTTATTTCCAAATATGACGTAAATCATAAAGGATTTTCAAAAGACACTTTATTAATTTCCCGTCCACCCTCAATGGGGTACTCAACAAAGTTTATCGACGCTTTATCTGAGGAAGGCTGCACACCGAGGTCCCATTCTTCAGCTTTCTTTTTTGCCATTTTTGATAGTAAGGTATACCCTTTCCGTAGACCTTCTAATGACAAATTGTACCCCTGTCACACTCGAGCACCTGATATAAGTAGTGATCGCTAAACCAGGAAGTCCTCTTTTATTTTACAGCCGCATAAGATGCATCTGTACGAAATTTGCCGGTGCAGATACCTTAAATACCTAAATGATAGATTTTCCCCACTCTTTCCCAGACCCCGTAGGCTGCGAGTAGTCTCTCTTTTTTCTCTTTTAGGGGAGGGGAGTGCAATCGTGCGCGAGCGTCAAGCGCCTTCAGTCACGCGGGTGGTCGTTTGCGTGTCTCTCGCGTGTCGCTCGACGGACTAAGAAAAAAGAGAGACTGCACGTAGTCTACAGACCCCTTAATACACCTAAAGCCTGAAAAGTGTACCTCTTTTGAGCGGAGCAGGACGGTGGACAGGGTGATTATTAAATAGAGTCTAGAAAATTCATTCATTCGCTGCGAGCAATATAGCGAAAGGCTATAGCATGCATTCTGCATATCGCTGGGGAACTATAATATCATAAAATTCTGCAAATTAGCAACTAAACAAAGAGTTTACAGGGATACAAATAACTAGTCCAGCAAATATGTTTAATTGATATTTAATAACTGAAAACTACCTGTGCAAGAGACTGAATTAGGTACTGATAAAAAACGAAACTAATAACATTAAACTATAATATTAGCGAAGAGAGATTTGCTTAATCCTGTCATAATGATATTTAGAATAAAACGAAGATTCAATTCACAGGATAGAAGAAACTTCTTACTTAGTTATTACTGACTTTCTTATTTAACCCATACTGTTAATGTAGCCCTCCAGGGACATGTTCTTTCTGGAGTGAGTTGCTTTGAATCCAAACTTTGCTTTGTGATAGAAGTAACACATACAACTGCTTAAAAATTGAACAAATGTTTCATATATTATGTGGTTAAATTAAATTCTTGGTTGAAACTTTCCTTTGTGTCAGACACATTATCATACTAGCGACGGGTCCTACAGTCCGAAAAAGATGAGTGTCAAAATGTACTCCAGTGAATACCTTTACCTGTCACTTATAATTCCCGGGCTTATACAACTTGGTAAGGGGCTTTAGGAGGGCTAATAAATTGGGGAGCTTTTATAAGGAGTAAACAAAAGTGTTTCAAAACAAGCAACAAAGCATTGCTGATCAAAATACTTGTTGAATTTACTCGCCTTTTTTAAGCTTCAAAACCTCACAAAAAATCGAATTTATTTAATTTCACTACAAGCAAGATAGGGGCTTACATTCGAAAGGGGGGATGGGGGGTATAACCGGATGTTTTTTTTTGTTTTCAGCTCAGGGCCCGTTATCGTCTGTAACTGCCTGGGAGGGCTGATGAGGGAGGAGATTATAAGTGGAAGATTACGGTATATGACTAGACTTTGTTTATATTGTTAATTGATTTCTAAAGGCCGATTTACACGGTATAACAGTTTGTTGCATGCGATGTCCTTTCCATAAGCAGATCAAACCATTAACGCCTTTCTCGTCGTTTCGTATGGTCACGTGGTCTTGAAATAAAGCCAAGCATCTTTGGCGAGAGTAAACCAACATCAGGCTGTGATTGCTTCGGTTTTTACGTTCATAGTCGGCACATTATTGATCGGATGCGACAAAGTTGTATTGTGTAAATAGACCTTGTTAATAAAACTTAAAGAGGCTACGTCACGCTAATTCTTATCTTTTTAAAAAGCTGAAACTTGCTTAAATTCCAAAAATAATGGTCTAGTTTTCTTAGCTAAGACTATATTTAGGCAGTGAAACTGTTTTCAGTGTCGTCTATTTCAACGGATGACAAGGATAGACTTTGATTAAACCGTTTTGTCAAGTTTCAATGCTATTCCTTTTCAAAAATCTCCAAAACAGTAATTATGGGTGGTGCTCCCTGAATAGTTTGATATCTTCTTCATAACGCTTCAGGAGATTTTGTGAGACTTTGACACAGAATTGACTTAAAACAGCAATATCCTCGTGGCATACCCCTGTGGATTAATTTTGGTTTCCGGGAAACTGCCCAACTACCCGTCCCGTTATCCGACATTTTTCCCCAAGTGAGACGCAAATGTAAACGCTGAGTTAGGGGAGGGGTAGGTGGGCAGTTTCTTTGAAACCTAAATTGATCCGCCCCGTAAATGCTAAAAAAGAACCTTTATGTTCTGTTGAGCTAAATAATTGCATTTGAGTACCTAATAAATAGACTGACCTCATTGGAACGGAAATAAACTTTTCAAAATTTTTTGGTTTTACCAGGGACTGCGGAACAAACGACGGCTACCCTGGGTGCCAGAGACTTTTCTAGCGAAGTTTCCGGTTTCTGTCAAGTCTTTATGGTGACCCGCGAGAAATTTTGAACTCGAACTTGTTTTTCTAACGGGAAATTTGAAATAAAGACTCTCGGAAGTGCGATTTTCGGCGTTTTGAAGTGCATTTACGACATGTTTACAGTATTTAACTTCATGAAACTCTGCTCATTGTGTTAATGAAAAAAGGCATTCCTGACCGTGATAATAATAAAAATCTTTAAAAACGTAGCCAACGTCACAATTATTCGTAGATGTTCTCAGAGCTCTTCTAAATGGAGTGTATCTACATTGAAATTTTAGGCATTTTTTAAATCCGCATCGTACACGAACGTTTTACAATCGAAGAGCTGATAACTTGCTGTATATGAAATTTACGTACAGAAACAATCAAAATGGCGGCAAAGGTATTTGGGGACTAAAGCCCCCAGCTCCGCGGTCCCTGTTTACTTGTTTACTATAACCCTCTACTTCCCTTATAAATACATAGTGAAATTGAAGACAACCAATTCAAAAAAAGTTGCCTCAGGTTTAATTTTAAGGTTTGCTTTGAGCAATATGACGTCACAGTAGCCGTCAAATCGGAAACCGGTTGATTATTTGTGTGCCAAATTCTGTTTCATTTGGACCCACTCCCCGGATGTGACTGGAGGATACTTGTTAGACCCATCCATACATGTGATAACCGCATCGACATCGGGATTAAAGAAAAGTGCTAAGGAACGACGGTGACGGCGTTTGATCTGCTCTTCGGGTATCAGTACACGATGAACCTGCGCGAATTAGATACGATCAGTAAGTTAGTTTAAGGAAGTCCCTTGTTTATACTGGGGTGTTAGTTGGGAATCAGAGGAATTCGTGTATCAGCGTTTTGGAACAGTCCTAAGGAGCACTTCAAATCAATTAGCTAGCCGGATACACCCAAGAAATTAATATTTTGACAGAGGAAAAACGTTTAGCTGACAATTTTTTTGTTCCTTTTTAATGCTAATCATGCGCATTCAGAGATAAACCGGAGCTTGGATTTTGGCGGGGAAAAGTGTTTTCACTTAATTTCCGGGGGGTACTCCCTATAATGGAAGACTCCTACTGAAAGTGGTACCTTTTTCAGGCTTCAGGTATATGAAAGGGTAGGGATATGATTTCACTAGTTGAAGTATATAAAGGGGTTGGGAAATCTGTCTTTCCGTCTATAAAAAGACCTAAAAAAGTTAATACAAATAATAAAAGTTAAGAATTTATGGCGACAGGAGCCCATCAAATGATGGGTTCCTGGTGGCGATGAAAAAAATTCCTGTTTTTCTGGCTTTTTCATATTTTAAAGACAATGCATTTACAGCAGTTAAAAGGGATGCAGAGCTCTAAACCTAGTCTTAAAAGGGGTACCATTTTTTAATGGAAGGTGCCTTTTCTGTAAAAAATTGCATGAAAACGGTATGGAGTCGGACCTCGGGGCGGAGTCTCCCCCTGTAAAACTTTTTTTAGTTTTAACCCCCGGGGGTAAATTAACCTATTTGTGAAACCATTGAAACGTAGGCTTAGTATGAGGGTTGCATTCTCCAACATACTGTTGATTTCAGTTTATCCGCCGTCCATCTTTCCATCATGTCACCAATGTTGACCACTATTGTTCCTTCTATTGGTGGAGCAGGAACAAATTTTCCTTCAACGTTGCGTATCTGAAGCAAATTAAGAAGCAATGGACTTGTTAGTGTAAGTGAATGCTTTTTCCTAGGTTATCTAGGGCCAAGTATAAATAAAAACCAATGTTTCTCGTCCGGATTTCTAGAAAAAAGAGAGCAGGCGAGCGCTTGTTGTTGTTATTTCCGACCTTTTTATTCACGGTTTTTTTAAGTGAATCTTCGGTCGGGGATTAGTTGGAGTTTTTGGTCAAATATTAATATTGAAACGTCAGATAATGATGTAACACAATAGTAACAAATAATAAAGAACTAGACGACCCCAAGAAATGAAGCAGGCCTGGAGGAAAAACATTTGTTTGTTTATTTATTATTTTTATTTGCTTGGCTTAATTAACGGTAGCTGTCTTTACCTCAAGTCCACCAACATCATCCTGGATCAGAAGCGTAATGGCGCCCCAGTCAGTATGCTCTCCACAGCGAAGCTGACCTGGTTTGACGTTACTCATATCAGTTATCGTGGGGTAGTAACTATACCTTAACATAGTTTCTCCTTGTAAAGTGCCTGCTTTTTCGAATGCATGGGCAAACGCGTCATGTTTCTGTTCAAGAAATCAAAGAATAAGTTAATGTATAGATTTACCCAAAGCTAAAAGCGAAGCTCCCGTTTAATAAAATTCATAATTTGCTTCAAAAAATAAACTTGTACTGAACCATCACAAAGAAATCCACTTGGGGTTGAGCCCGCGATCAGTTAGGAACTAGTAACTTGTCAGCGGATGACTTCAAAAGGTGGTTGATGGGTCGATACCAGAGCCCGCGATATGGTCATGTGATACTGGTTAGCGAATACCCCGTTCTGACAGCTGTCAATTGACCACAACAGATGGATGTGCAATATCAGGTTGCAGGCTCCTACGCTATCTAGAAAGTGTGACATTTTACATTGGTTGCCCTGTGGTGCGGGCGGACGGGTGGACGTTTTCCCGCCAAGATGGTGCTGGTTCTTGCGCGAGCACTTCTTAGTACTGAGAAAATCTCGTATTAGTTATTAATTCAAAACTTATAAGGCGCAAATATCTATAATACATTCAAGTGCGCCGTACTACTCGTAGTTGTCCTCGTCTTAGAATATAAAATCTCCATTTTTCGATTTTAGGCCACGGTAATCGTTTGTCATGTCAACATGATTTTCTTACCAATTGAAGACCTATAGCCATGACAGATAGCACCCTGAAGCTTAGCTCTGTCATGGTCTCATAGGTACGTGTAATGTTGCTTTGGAAGTTTGGTATCTCTTCATTGGGCCATCTCTGCAACACAAGAACATTGATGGTAAAAAGAAAAAACGAAAGAAACTAGTTGTAAAAATATAATTAAAACACAAATCAGAAAACGATATTCTTGTAATCCAATCAAGACGCCCATTTAAAGGCTAGGCAAATTGTCCTTTATGCTGCTATACGCGAGACAGTTTTTATGATAAAAGAAATGCTAGCGCTGGCTCGGCTAGAAGGGTGACCCGGGAAGGTAGGTCAACCTTTTGTGAAGGTAGGCCCGGAGTCACCGTCCTACACTGGCTTACACTCACTTGGTTTGCCCAGCTGGGACAACTAGATCAAAGCGAGACAATTAACGCATGTGCGAGTTCTGTTGTCTAGGACAAGGACAAAGAGGTCAACATTTTTCTGATATCAGGAACGCTCGCTGTTAGAGGGCGACCCTGCTAGGGGTACTTTTTCTCCATATATCACCGGGTCTAAATTTTAATTCTGTGGACGAGAACGTTTGAATCAGTGGACGAAACTATGATGGTATAATTCAAATGAAACCTCTTTCAAGAATAAAAATCAACGATAAAAATTTTGAATGACGTTTCGATGACTCGCTCATCATTTTCAAATTCTAAAAAGTTAGATTGTTAAAAGTTCTTTATATATTAAGAATGCGTGTGAAGTCTCGTTGCACGTGATTAAAAACTACAATGTGGAATGTAGTGAGTGTTAATTAGGTACTCAAAAGTTTCACTTTTATTGAGTCTGATTGAGTGTTCAGTTTGGGTTTCATTTCCTGGATAAAAAGCATTTCGTAGATCAAGCATTCAAATTTCCCACGACATTTCTTCAGTATAGTGAATTGTTCAGTGAGGTCTTTGTTCTTCTGATTGTGAGAGTCACGCAGGTGTATAAAGAACTTTTAAAAGTTTTTTAAAGAACTTTTAACAATCTAACTTTTTAGAATTTGAAAATGATGAGCGAGTCATCGAAACGTCATTCAAAATTTTTATCGTTGATTTTTATTCTTAAATGTTTATCGAAAGCGTCTGTTATTAGAACCTCTTTCAGACAAAATTTAGACGACGTCATATATCCAGATCTGGTTGTGGCCCAGACTGTCAGAATGGAACTTTTTCTTAGGAAATTGTAGAATAAACGTCCTGGCTAACTAACTGACAACAGGGGTGCGTTCTCAAAATACCTGGGAGGAAATAACCCGCCTAAATTCGCCGCAAACTATCATGAATTAGGTAAGAAAAAAGGTAAAAAAGGCTCTGGCACTCAGCGCAAGTGTCAACAAGCTACCTATTAAAACTTACAAAATCTGGCTCATAAATTGAGTTCAAATCCAAGGTTTCTTTGTAACCTGGTGGTCCCTCTGAATTAAGGCTGTGAAGGAAGAGAAAGCAAAAACGGTTTGGTTTATTACTATATTATTTTTATCATTAATTTATTATTATTATCATTATTATTATTAATACTATTCAATAGACCTTTTGGCTTGGATGTTTTGTTTTCCAAATTCAGACCACGTGCCGGAAACAGTTTTCCAGGATCTGGCACTATCACATGATTTGAAATGGGAAAACAAATCCAAACAAGCTGTAAAGGTCTATCACTTGGGAAGAATATTTTGTAGCCAATCAACGTGACTATAAAAAGCCACTTCCGGGTTGAACCAAATGCCTGTTTTAAAGAGAGGCTCGTGGGTTTTGAAAGAACCAAATAAAAGACCAGCTTCCTGTCGGCTTGTTAGTTCGAATGGTAGAGCGCTGCACCGGTATCGCAGAGGTCAAGCTGAGTTCAAATCCCGTTCAAGCCTGCATCATTTCAGACTAAATCTTTACGCAACTGCAAAAGTTGTGTCTATAACTGAGATGATCTTCTTTCATTTAATGCTCCCCCATACATATCAGTTATCGTGGGGTAGTAACTATACCTTAACATAGTTTCTCCTTGTAAAGTGCCTGCTTTTTCGAATGCATGGGCAAACGCGTCATGTTTCTGTTCAAGAAATCAAAGAATAAGTTAATGTATAGATTTACCCAAAGCTAAAAGCGAAGCTCCCGTTTAATAAAATTCATAATTTGCTTCAAAAAATAAACTTGTACTGAACCATCACAAAGAAATCCACTTGGGGTTGAGCCCGCGATCAGTTAGGAACTAGTAACTTGTCAGCGGATGACTTCAAAAGGTGGTTGATGGGTCGATACCAGAGCCCGCGATATGGTCATGTGATACTGGTTAGCGAATACCCCGTTCTGACAGCTGTCAATTGACCACAACAGATGGATGTGCAATATCAGGTTGCAGGCTCCTACGCTATCTAGAAAGTGTGACATTTTACATTGGTTGCCCTGTGGTGCGGGCGGACGGGTGGACGTTTTCCCGCCAAGATGGTGCTGGTTCTTGCGCGAGCACTTCTTAGTACTGAGAAAATCTCGTATTAGTTATTAATTCAAAACTTATAAGGCGCAAATATCTATAATACATTCAAGTGCGCCGTACTACTCGTAGTTGTCCTCGTCTTAGAATATAAAATCTCCATTTTTCGATTTTAGGCCACGGTAATCGTTTGTCATGTCAACATGATTTTCTTACCAATTGAAGACCTATAGCCATGACAGATAGCACCCTGAAGCTTAGCTCTGTCATGGTCTCATAGGTACGTGTAATGTTGCTTTGGAAGTTTGGTATCTCTTCATTGGGCCATCTCTGCAACACAAGAACATTGATGGTAAAAAGAAAAAACGAAAGAAACTAGTTGTAAAAATATAATTAAAACACAAATCAGAAAACGATATTCTTGTAAACCAATCAAGACGCCCATTTAAAGGCTAGGCAAATTGTCCTTTATGCTGCTATACGCGAGACAGTTTTTATGATAAAAGAAATGCTAGCGCTGGCTCGGCTAGAAGGGTGACCCGGGAAGGTAGGTCAACCTTTTGTGAAGGTAGGCCCGGAGTCACCGTCCTACACTGGCTTACACTCACTTGGTTTGCCCAGCTGGGACAACTAGATCAAAGCGAGACAATTAACGCATGTGCGAGTTCTGTTGTCTAGGACAAGGACAAAGAGGTCAACATTTTTCTGATATCAGGAACGCTCGCTGTTAGAGGGCGACCCTGCTAGGGGTACTTTTTCTCCATATATCACCGGGTCTAAATTTTAATTCTGTGGACGAGAACGTTTGAATCAGTGGACGAAACTATGATGGTATAATTCAAATGAAACCTCTTTCAAGAATAAAAATCAACGATAAAAATTTTGAATGACGTTTCGATGACTCGCTCATCATTTTCAAATTCTAAAAAGTTAGATTGTTAAAAGTTCTTTATATATTAAGAATGCGTGTGAAGTCTCGTTGCACGTGATTAAAAACTACAATGTGGAATGTAGTGAGTGTTAATTAGGTACTCAAAAGTTTCACTTTTATTGAGTCTGATTGAGTGTTCAGTTTGGGTTTCATTTCCTGGATAAAAAGCATTTCGTAGATCAAGCATTCAAATTTCCCACGACATTTCTTCAGTATAGTGAATTGTTCAGTGAGGTCTTTGTTCTTCTGATTGTGAGAGTCACGCAGGTGTATAAAGAACTTTTAAAAGTTTTTTAAAGAACTTTTAACAATCTAACTTTTTAGAATTTGAAAATGATGAGCGAGTCATCGAAACGTCATTCAAAATTTTTATCGTTGATTTTTATTCTTAAATGTTTATCGAAAGCGTCTGTTATTAGAACCTCTTTCAGACAAAATTTAGACGACGTCATATATCCAGATCTGGTTGTGGCCCAGACTGTCAGAATGGAACTTTTTCTTAGGAAATTGTAGAATAAACGTCCTGGCTAACTAACTGACAACAGGGGTGCGTTCTCAAAATACCTGGGAGGAAATAACCCGCCTAAATTCGCCGCAAACTATCATGAATTAGGTAAGAAAAAAGGTAAAAAAGGCTCTGGCACTCAGCGCAAGTGTCAACAAGCTACCTATTAAAACTTACAAAATCTGGCTCATAAATTGAGTTCAAATCCAAGGTTTCTTTGTAACCTGGTGGTCCCTCTGAATTAAGGCTGTGAAGGAAGAGAAAGCAAAAACGGTTTGGTTTATTACTATATTATTTTTATCATTAATTTATTATTATTATCATTATTATTATTAATACTATTCAATAGACCTTTTGGCTTGGATGTTTTGTTTTCCAAATTCAGACCACGTGCCGGAAACAGTTTTCCAGGATCTGGCACTATCACATGATTTGAAATGGGAAAACAAATCCAAACAAGCTGTAAAGGTCTATCACTTGGGAAGAATATTTTGTAGCCAATCAACGTGACTATAAAAAGCCACTTCCGGGTTGAACCAAATGCCTGTTTTAAAGAGAGGCTCGTGGGTTTTGAAAGAACCAAATAAAAGACCAGCTTCCTGTCGGCTTGTTAGTTCGAATGGTAGAGCGCTGCACCGGTATCGCAGAGGTCAAGCTGAGTTCAAATCCCGTTCAAGCCTGCATCATTTCAGACTAAATCTTTACGCAACTGCAAAAGTTGTGTCTATAACTGAGATGATCTTCTTTCATTTAATGCTCCCCCATTTTGGCTAGGCAACTTTGAAAGGATGGCCGTTTTTTTCTGTTTCTCAAGGGCTTATACACTGCTATCTTTACTGCACATGCATGTCACAATTCTGGCCGATTGTTTGCACCATATAAGTACAAATTATGGGAATGGGCACGCATTACCTTTCCGCTTCAAAAGAATTCCAACCATCTCTGCAGAATTTGTATTCTCTTTTGTATTTCGTTTTTACTTTATCACTCAGGGCGAAGAACTTATCCATCTCCACAAAAATAGAGTCGATCTGCAGAGTTAAACAAGGAAATTAACTTCAAGGGTGAACAAAAAAATAATTGTTCCTCCATTCATGTTGTCTGCTCAGCAATTCAAGTTCTAGCGAAGTTTCAAGTGAACTGCCCAATCGAAGGCCATAATAACATGAATACAACAGATGGTTTACCAAGACTTTGGTATATTTTATAGGTGGAATTCTACTTGAGAAGTGACCGGCTGAGGGGAACCAACGACACAAAATACTGTCGAACCTCCAGCTCTCTGAAGCGGCCACTTTTTCATGCTTTTTTAGGTCATCGATTGACTAGACGAGTACGTAACATACATTTTCCACACTGAACGACAACGATGGCTTGCAGTAGCCTGCAAACGCAGCCATATTTTCGGTCGTCGCTTAGGGTGAAAAGGAGCGACGACTGTGAATACGTATGCGTTCGTAGGTAACGGCAATAGTAACGTACTAAATCGAACCTCAACTGCTAGAAAAAGCTTTTCACCAGAGCTATTGAAAAGCTCACCTACCATCTTCAGTCAACAAATCGACAATTAGCCTAGCGTAGCAGGCCCTTTTTTTTCGCCACAACTCTTATAGACCACAGCAATGACGTCAAAATGTTCAAAACTGAAGAGATTGGTTCCACTGCAATTTTTTTTAACATCTTGACGTCTTTTTTATGGTTTGTAATGTAGACCATGCAAAATAAGTGTTTTTCTTCAAGATGGAGGCTCGATTACTTCCCGCACTGTCCGCGAAAGTGAAGACCCAAGACGAAGCTGAAAAAGTTGCTGCTTTTAACCCTTTAACCCAGGTTTTGAACTTGAATAAAAAATATTTACAACAGCAACAACAAAGACAAAACAAACATTCGAACAAAAACGCACCATTTCCTGGGGAATCCCATGGTTTTTAAGATACACAAATCCAACCGTGCTACAGGCGTTGTAGAGTTCGTCAGCCAAGTCTTTGACAGCATTGCTATTTTCTGCCCAAGGCTGATTCTTGTTTTGTAAACCCATGGCGCTAAAATCTACAACAGGAATAGCCATCTTGGTCCAGTAAAGCTTCGAAACTTAAGTGCTTTCCAGATTTTTGAACAAATCTGAAAAAAGGAGAAGGAGATCATTTGAGACTTCGACCCCGTTGACGCAAGTCCGGTCAAATGTTTGAAAGAACGCATTTTTTACCTGTGCCACCCGTTTATCCTGGCTCCTAGCTTTGACAGATTAAGTAGCATAATTAGCTACTAGCATTGCTCGTATATTATCTTTTTGATTCAAATTTAGGTCCTCAAAAACTATGCAACAAAGGGGAAAAAGGAAACACGTTTATCCTATTTACAATTTCATGGCTATCACAGTCTTGCGAACTCTAGTTTTCAGCGATAGATGAATGTATGAGAGATAAACCACTGAAACAACAAAACTGTCCGACAACTATATTATTGAAACTCAAACAATAATCAACACGCCATTTCGGGTAACCGAGCTAGTTAAGTGCGTGCATTGAGGCCTGTGGAAGGACTCCTGGGTCACTCAGGGCCCTCGTATGTGACAATAAGCGGGCAAAAAAAAAATGATTTTATTACTTTAATATGCTCGTAACACTGATCTCAGGCCAAAAAAGTTGGTTGTATAGTCAATATTAAATAACAATTTTGTGCTGCAAAACTAGCCTTAAGGCCAAATTATGCAAGCAGTGGTTTTTCGGAAAAATGAAACTTGTGCTTGTAAAGACGGATACCAAAGTTATGCTAGCACAATCTAACATCAAAACCTTCCCGTTACAATTAGAATTTAGAATTTACTGAACTTCATAAGTCAAAAATTACAAATTCTGTTACAGATTCACTGCAGATTGCAGTACTCTTTACACGATACAAATTAAATTTGTGAAATCATGGGATTTGTCGGGATATTCTAAAAAAAAAAAAAAAAATGCCTACTTGCTAGACAAACTAGCATTTTGGGGCAAAGAGTCTCTGAGATACTAGCCCGGTTTTCCTCTGATGACTCCATACAAATTACAAATCCTTCTAAATTGGCCTTGGTTCTCAACGTTATTGGGGGAAAGGCCGCCTTTTTTCTCCGAGGCGTGGCCCCTTAGTACATAATTTGAAAAAAAGATAACCGCCCGTAACGTAACCTGCGGAGCTGGCGATTTTAATGGTGTGACTTTCGTTCATGTTTGGTTCGTATTTATGCGGCTGCGCGCGAGGTTAAACGAGAAAACGATGGCGGAGAGGGCGAGGGAGACGGAGAGAAAAATTGCCTTAAATGCCTTCACTGGCTTCTCTCCTCCTCCCCCATCGCGAGATATCGCGCGATGCGGAGGAAAAGGCCACTCTCACTCCCGTACCCTATCGCGTACGGCTCTGGGGTGACTTCTAACAACTACCCCAAATGGGGAGCTTGCTCGCGGGCTACCCGTTAACTCTTACGGGAAAAAACAAAACAAGGTCTTCAATTTTCAATGAATCTTGGCAGTGTTTTTGTTTTCTACAACTCCCCTCCCCCAAGATGAAACGAAGAACCCCTTCAGAGTCACTTGGAAAAGGCTGGAAAAGCTATGACGATCTGAAATGCATATGTGTAAGAAACAACAAGAACTTCAATTATCAACACATTTTGCCATTGTTGTTTCTACACGTGGTCGCGAGCTTTTGAGACTTTAAACAATAATGACATGGATTTTAATACAAGTAGAATCAACTCTGTTTACATTAATGAGAAATAGTGTTTTAGGTCAAGAAATCTATCTCGTTCGCATTATAAGTATGTTTAATTTCTATCTGATCACACTCTGTAGGTTTTCTTGCTGAACAAACTCGAGGCAAAGAGGCTAATTTTTAGCGATATATATTTACGTGGCTGCTGTGTTACATCAACGGTGGTACAGGTGTATTATGCATACTGCAGTTAGAGCTTACTTAACATAATGATGTAACATATATTATAAATCTGTACAATTTAGTTTTCAATTTTTATTCCAAAGGTTTTCCAGTGGGGTATTACTTTTTCGTGAGCGTCTGACTTTTCTAAACTTATTGTACTTCATGAAACAAACAAAAAAACAAACAAATAAAATAAAAAATACGCCCTCCTTTTTCCTTTCATATATTCCCACTATGCTAACTTTATGGACTCTATTTTCATTAAATTTCCTTTTATAATTGATTCCGGTTTTCCTTTATTCGCTTTAACATGTATTTTTTCAAACTCCGGTCGCGTGCTTTCCCCGCTTGGATAAATTCTCCAAGCATCTAGACCGCCTGGAGTTTTCGCAGGTACTGTTCCGGCAAAAATCGAGGGAAAATGAAGGAATCCGTTTTTCCTCTTCTTGTAAAGCAGAAGTTAAGTTCTAAAATGAATCGCATTCTGTTACCATTTAGTTACGTAATTAGCCAACCGTTTAAAGACTGCGAATCAGATTCGCCTTCGAGTATTTGCGTCCTAGAAGATAGGTCAGAGTACACGGAATTTTAAATAAAGGGAACGTATTCAGTAGCGAGACTAGTGCGGGATAAAAATGAACTATTTTCTAAAAATAATGTTCACAGCTAAATAAAGAAGGTCAAAATCGAAACACAAAGAATTCACAGACGCACATACCTCAGGTTCCTGTTAACAACTCGGCGATAATTAATTAGAAGGATCTGTCAGTATCTAGCTTCTGTTGCTTTTAAATAATACATTACATTTTCATAATATTTGCTTTAAGCTGCCAGTACGGCAGGACTGGACTGGACTGGACTATAGATTGAGAGGAAAACAAGTTAACGTGTACAAGCAGGGGCGTAGTTAGCCCATAGATCGGTAGGCGCGGGCCTACAAATTTTTGGTTCATCACTCTCGCTTGTAATAAATTATGCGTTGTTGGGGTGAGCTAAAAA